GGTGGTGAAATCCCAGGGAGGCTGATGCCTGCTGTTCACACAGGAGGATATCCTCAGCCTGTCCTGCATCTTCCTGTCCTCAGGAAATAATTCAGACAGGATGAGCACTCAAAACAACTCCATCACCACTTAATCCTTAATCCTCTGGCTTTTCACCAGTAAAACAACTGACTCAGCTTCAGGTGAGACATCTAAATTTGGAGAAATAATGCTATCACATAGAAAATTGAAATGAGACGTGTCAGGAAGGCTTTGCTTGAGCACTTGCCAGAGTCTCTAAAGTGTAAAACCATCAGGTATACGTTTTCCACCTCTGGTGACATTAAATGCATTTTGTTAGATACTACATACTATGTTAGATACATAGCTACTCTACGAATTATGATCTCTTCTTGGAAAAGCCTCAGCTTTTTTAGGGCCACAAAGATGATTGGAGGGCTGGAGCACCTCTCCTATGATGGAAGGTTGGTGGAACTGAGGTTAAGTCTGGAGAAGAGAAGGCTTTGGGGAGACCTTGTCATGGCCTTCTACTACTTGAAGGGAGCTTATAAGCAAAAGCTGGGGGAATAAGAGAATTGCAGAGATTGGAAGAGACCTCAGGAGATGAAGTCCTACTCCCTTGCCAATGCAGTTCCCTACAATGTGTCATACAGGTAGGCATCCAGATGGGTCTTGAATATCTCCAGAGAACGAGACTCCACAACAGGGTGGCAGAGCACCCAGAACTTACTGTAAAGATGTTTGCAGTACATATAAATCCTCCTATGTTCAAGTTTTAGGTCATTGCTCCTTGTCTTGTCACTACACACTACCAAGAAGAATCTGGCCTCATCCATTTGCCTCCCACCTCCCTTTAGATATTTACAGACATTAGTCAGATCTCCCCTCAGTTGTCTTTTCCCCAGAGTGAACAGATCCAGATTACTCAGCCTTCCCTCATGTGAGAGATGCTCCAGGCCCTCTGATGGACTCCTAGGAGATCCCTGTCTCTTTTGAACTGGGGAGCCGTGAACTAGATACACTATTCTAAATGTCACCTCACCAGGGGAGAGTAGAGAGGAAGCATGACCTCCCTCAATCTGCTGGCCACACTTCTACATGGTCTGATAGCAATAAGACAAGGGAGAATGGCTTTAAAATGAAAGGGGGGAGATTTATGTTACATGTCGGGAACAAATTATTTATTCAGGGGGCAGTGAGGCCCTGGCACAGATTACCCTGAGAAGCTGTGGATGCTCCATCCCTGGAGGTGCTCAAGCTCAGGTTGGATGGGCTCTGGGCAAACCGAGCTGGTGGGGGGCACCCAGCCCACAGCAGGGGGTTGGAACTGGATGTTAATTGTGTTCCCTTCCAACCCAAGCCACACTGATTTTGCTCTCTGTAGTTGTTAATGACCTTAAGGTGCTGCTGAGAAGGAAGTGGGTTTTAGCCCACGTGTCCTGTTTTGCTGTTACACTTCACTCATACCACAAGCTCTGAGTATATTAAGCAAACATCTGTGCAATAACTGATGAACATCTGTTGTGCTTTTTTTCTTCTTCTCTGGAGGAAATGTGTGTAGTAGGGTGTCTTGTTTTGGGAAGGCCATTTAAAATAAAACAAACAAAAAAACCTATTTAGAAGTCCTCTTCGAGAGGTCCACATAAGCACAGGACACGTGCACATCCAAGGTAAGGTCAGAGAACTGTGCCACATTCTTCAAGCAGATGGCAGAGAAGTGGAACAAGCCGGAGATGGCTCTTCATCCTGAGCAGATGAGATGTGCTGGAGGAAGTTTTTTTTGAGCTGAAAGATCAAAGCTGCTGGCTTAAGCCTTCTGGGACAGAATGGCCCACATGGCTGTGAGCCTGCCTGTGTTTTTAATGAACCTCAGTGAGTGCAGTTCTCAGCAGCTGTGGCCAACTTTACTCAGGAGGCAGCTGACTCCAGGTTGCAGCCATTTCACAGCATGTTGTGTTCATACATGTGTCTTCTGCAAATCTTTTGCAAGTCTTTCAGATCAAAGAAATTCTTCTTTTGGGAAGAAATAGGGTGATTTCTTTTTTTTTTTTTCCTTAAACTAGATTCCTGAAGACTTTCCTACATGGAAATGAAGTTCTCTTGTTGCTTTCTTTGCCTCAGAGTTGTTGCTCTCTAAAGTATTCTCCTGCATACTGCAGGTGACAGAAGCTTGCCTTAAATTTATTTGTGACTTCTTGCTTCCAGTACTCCTCCTTTCTCTACTTGAATCCTTTTATCACTTTCTCTACTTGAATCCTTTTATCACTTTCTCTACTTGAATCCTTTTATCAGAATCTGGTTCTGTATCAGAGATAGTGATGCAACAGAAGAGCAAAGAGATCCATTAATCCAAATTAAATAGAAGGCAACAGTTGAAGGGTCTCATGATTTCTGGAGCAAGGACTATTGCACAACTTCTTGTTGTAACAAAAATTAAAAGTAACTCTCATATGTGGTAATATACCTTAACCACTTATTGTTATCCAGCAGTTAGGCTATTGTACTGGGGGGGAAAAGAAAACAAAACAGCTGAATACACTTTCCCTTGTATGCTCTATTCTATCAAATTGAGCTTGAATGGCTTACTCATTTTGCATAGGAGTGGAAAAGAAATTTTCTGGTTCAACTTTTTAATAAAATCTGACTTAGTCTGAGTATTAGCCTGTGTGTCACGTAGTCTTTGCATAGAGTTTGACATGTTTGTATTTGATACAGGATGGGGAAAGAAACTCACTTGTTGAATGAGAGCAGGCAGCCCTGAGCAATGCAGTGATGTGCTGTGGCTACACAACAGCTCCATCTGCTGTTTTTTTTCTCGTGTGTTTCTGTCTGTTTTTTCTTCACTAGGCTGCCTCCACTGAAGATTTCTATGCATAATCTTGCAGGTCAGGAGAACTGAATATGTTTTGTGTAGCATCATAGTTTGTACTTTGGCTTCAGACAGAAAGGATGGAGAATCAAGCTTTAGGGCAAGACATTCAGTTTGAGATGATCCCATAAAAAGCCGATAGGACATGTAAGCCTATTTTTCTGATGTGATTTTTTTTTTTTTTTTTTCAGCTGTTTAGAACCATAGAATATTTTGGGTTGGAATGGACCTTTAAGATCACGTAGTTCCAACCCCTGCTATAGGCAGGGACACCTCCCTCTAGACCAGGTTGCTTACAGCCCCATCCAGCCTGGCCTTGAATGCTTCCGGGGAGGGAGCATCCACAACCTCACTGGGCAACCTGTTCACTGTTTCATCACCCTCACAGTAAAGAATTTCTTCCTCACATCTAGTTTGCAATACTGTTGGAGTTTATTAAACTTTGTTAATTTGTTAGATCAGCCTTATTTAATCTTTTTAATTGCTCCAGGGTCTTAGGATCAAAGATTTTTGCTTACTGATCTTGTTTGTCTAATCTCCAAGTCACTCTTGATTATGGCTGATGTAAAAAGTGAACAAAAAAGGAACAGGTGAGTTGTTGGTGTAAAATAAGCTCAGCGTATGTCGTTAGTACTGGAATTCAGTGAATAAACTTTAAGGGTGTGCATGATAACACTGCCATGTACTTATACACATAAGGAGCAAACTGTAAAACATACAGAAAAAAAACATAAATAACTTAGCTGTATTTCAGTCTGGCAGCAGTCATGAAGATAGCTTATTTAGGAGAGGAGTCTGTCCCTTCTGTCAAGGCAATGCACTGGTCAGGCAGTGGACTGTAACACAGCTGTCGTCTTGCTTCAGGCTCTCCAGAGTTCTTCCTTCTCTTTGAGAGAGGGGAAAATACACTTTGCAGCAATGTTAACATAAATTTCTGCACTCTCTATTCCAAACTGTACCTAAATATGTGGTCCAGAGCGATAGGATACTGTAGGTCAGGAACTGGCTGCCTTTCCTGAGCTGTTGAGGGAAATGAGCGCTTGGATTTGTGCATGTCTTGCTTTTTAGCACTAACTTGAGGGTGTTCTCCAAATGAGATGTAGTTCTGGGAGCATCTGATGTTTGGCAGTTGTCGATACAAAAGCAGATGGCTGAGCAGAAGTGCTCAAGCCAGCAGATGTCAGGCTGCTACCGCAAGCAGCAGTATGAAAGGGAAGAAATGATGCTTTCTGCTGATGGAAGTCAAATTTGGGAAAGTAGAGATCATCTGCAGCTGATAACCAAAAGTGGTGTTGATTTGGGAGTACATAGAAATTAGACAGCCTAGCTCTACTGTTTAGTAAAATCTTGGGTGGCCCACGCAGGAGCTAACTATAAAAGCAATTTTAATGGATGTTTGGTGAAGGGGAATAGTGCATACAAAGCAATATGAGTGAAAGCTGAAAAACTGACCTGCAAGATTGAAAGTGAATTTCTAAGAAGCCAAACCCCACAGCTTTATTGCTTCAAGATGTGTGTGTGTCAACTTAAAATATTTCTAGGGCAGTGGCAAGGAGAACTGGGGAGGCTGCGTGAATTACTGAAAACTGCAAGAGAGGAGGAGAAGCACTTAATAAAACTACTGGAATAGTCTGTCAGTAGTACAGGAACTGGAGAGAATCAGTATTTTTCTAAGAATAAAAAGTAAACATTCTAAATTAACATATTCCATTCTAATTCTGTTTGGATTTTGATGTTATGCTGAAAGAATGAATGAAGGAAGTCTTAAATAACAAAGTAAATCAGGAATTTTTCTAAGACTTTATATACTGTCAGGCAATGACCAATTTTCACTTAATAAAACTGAAATTAGACTTTACTGGTTAGCTATGATACTATTAATAGAGTGTGTGGCTTTTATATCTTCAGATAAGTTTCTCCTTGACTGTGTAGACCTCTAACTTTTGTTGGCTTCCTTGCAAGGCAGAAGAATGTTGATACATTAGGAATCTGAGAATATAAATTAGTCTTTTATCGTAGTGAAACTTTCTTTTCTTTGTTCTTCTTCTGCAAAGTGACTGTCAGCACTTGTGCTGTGGATCCATGATCAATTTTCTCTCTCTGAAATTGGTGTTATTCATTGTTTTGACAGATTGATCACTTTGGATTTGATGAAAATCTTACGTTCCAGCAGCGATATCTGATAGCAGATCAGCACTGGAAGAAAGACAATGGGCCTATACTGTTTTATACAGGCAATGAGGGAGACATCACGTGGTTCTGCAACAACACAGTATGTATGAATTAGATCCCTGATTTTTAAATTTTAGTCCTTCTTTCCAGCAGTGGCCTACTGAAAAATAAAAACAAGAAAGATGGCATCATCATCATTTAAAGAGAACTTACAATTGTGGTTATAAGAGTTTCAGGAGAAAAAGCAAGCTGAAAAAGTATAGGAAAGATTTTAGGGGATTTGAGGTCCTGTTTGAAGTCCACAGAAATCAAAGGGAAGCACTTACCTTAACTTTCTTGAGTTGTGAAGAAAACTTGAGGAAACGCTCTGTGGTGTCTGAAGCTAAGGATGAAAGTTTGGACCAAACTACATCAATCCCATTGCTTAGAATGCTTCTGAGTAAAAGGAGGGGGTTTGATTGCTTTATTTTCCTCTAAGAAAACTAAGAAAAATATCAAGTGAAATGAAGGTGCCTAGGAATTAAGAACAGATGCTTGTTCCTTTACAAAATCCTTGGAAGTTATTACTTCCCTGACATGCAAATAATAGAATCACTAAAATTGGAAAAGTCCTCCAAGGTCATCCAGTCCAAATGTCTACCTATCACCTTTTTTCCCCACTAAGCCATGTCCCTCAGTACAACGTCTGAACGTTTCTTGCACGTCTCCTGGGACGGTGATTCTACCACTTTCCTGGGCACACAGAAGGGAGTGTAGGCATTTTTCTGCTACTTCACTATAAAATCCACTGGTGCAACAGCAGCTGGCATGTGCAGGCCTGAACTAACCAAGGACTGTTTATGCACTTTGTTCTGGCAGCTGGTGATCTGTCTGCCCCTTTGCATAACTGGTGGATAGTAAAATGTTGCTGTCACCAAGTAATAACAACTTGTTGTGATTACTTATCACTTGACAAGTGTATTAAGCAATATGCATTGTATTTTTATCTGGAATGGTTGTCTACCTTCAGTATTTTGCTACTTCAGTGTTACTTTAAAACCAAATTGCAGTGTGTCTTTCTGGTTGTATTTTGATAGCAGTATCTTCCTCAACAAAGACCAAATTCAAGGTGCAGTAGACTGGAAGTAGAGACTTTTAAGCAAGGTGAGTCAATCACTTTCAATGTCTTTTTTCTCCAACCAGGGTTTTATGTGGGATGTGGCTGAAGAACTTAGTGCCATGTTAGTATTTGCTGAACATAGATATTATGGAGAATCCTTGCCCTTTGGAAACGAATCTTTCAGTGTAAGTGTTGTCTTTGCTTTCTTCTTTGGATGTGTTCTATAAAAACAAAAATCTGCTTACTGTAATTCTTGTTGGTGCAGCAACTTCTTGCTTGAGTAAGATATGCTAGAAAAAAGCAATTATCCTATTTTTGTAACTACTGATTACACATTTTAATAAAATCTAGGATTTTCTAGCACCTCAAAGGACACCTGCAAAAATTATTTAGTTTGTCAGGCACAATTTTATAACTCAATGTGCATAGAATCATAGAATCATAAAATGTTTGAGGCCACTAAGTAGTTTTACATGGGTTGGTCAGAATGTATTTGGCCTCTTATTTGTTTCTATAGAATCATAGAATCACTCAGTTTGGAAAAGACCTTAAAAATCATCAAGTCCAACCAAAACCTAACCATATGACTTTAACAAACCTCCGCTGAATCATGTCCCTGAGCACCACATCCAAATAGTTTTTAAACACATCCAGGCATGGGGACTCAACCACCTTCCTGGGGAGCCTATTCCAGTGCTTCACAACCTTTTCTGTAAAGGAGTTTTTCCTGATATCCAACCTAAACTTGCCCTGGTGCAGCTTGAGGCCATTTCCCCTTGTCCTGTCACCAGTGAGAAGAGACCAACCCCACTCTTGCCGTGAGCACCTTTCAGATACTGAAAGAGAGCAATAAGGTCTCCCTTCAGCCTCCTTGTCTCCAGACTAAACAGCCCCTGTTCCTTCAATCTCTTCTCATATGGCACATTCTCCAAGCCCTTCACGAGCCTTGTTGCCCTGTTTTGGACCTGCTCCAGCACCTCAATGTCCTTTCTGTACTGAGGTGCCCAAAACTGAACACAGTACTCGAGGTGGTGCCTCACCAGTGCCGAGTACAGGGACAGGATGACTTCCCTAGTCCTGCTCATGACACCATTCCTGATACAAGCTAGGATGCTGTTGGCCTTCTTGGGCACACTGCTGGCTCATACTCCCCAAGCCTGTAGGGTTGCCTGGGGTTGTTGTGACCAAAATGCAGGACCTGACACTTGGCCCTATTGAAACTCATACTGTTAACTTCGGCCCATCAATCCAATCTATCCAGGTCCCTCTGTAGTCCTTTCTCCCCTCTGGGCAGATCAACACTCCCTCCCAACTTGGTGTCTGCAAACTTACTGAGGGTGCACTCAATCCCCTCATCAAGAGGGAGTTAACATAAAGATGTTAAATAGAAGCAGCCCCACTACTGAGCCCTGGGGGACACTGCTTGTGACCGGCTGCCAACTGGATTTAACTCCATTGACCATAACTCTTTGGGCCTGGCCATCCAGCCAGTGTTTCACCCAGAGAAGTAGTTTGGGGAAAAGAGACTGCTGCCAGATATTGATGTATAAAATGCTCCTGTGTTCTTTGTCTCAGGATTCCAAGCATCTGAATTACCTGACCTCAGAACAAGCTCTGGCAGACTTTGCAGTACTAACTGAGTACTTAAAGGAGACCATTGCAGGAGCCCGTCACAGTCCTGTCATAGCCATTGGAGGGTCTTATGGGGGAATGCTGGCAGCCTGGTTTCGGATGAAATACCCCCATGTGGTAGTTGGGTGAGTTTAGTACTCTGCTCTGTGTTTGAGCATGACATCTATTACCTCTATGCTATAACTGTTACAGTACTGGGAGAATTACTGTAATTCAAGCTGGCTTCATTTTTTCACTGTTGGGAGGACAAACTAAATCACTTAGAATTTAGGAAAAGGTATCATCTGCTGCAAAAATTAGCGGGTGCTAGATAGCCTATACTTTCAAAGATGTCTGATTGGGGATTTTTTTTTTTACTCAAAAAAGAAATAATTTGGAACATTGACTTTATACCTCTCAGTGGCTTGAGTCAGGTTTTTGATCTCTTCAGTGCCTTGTTTCCTCTGTAGGATACAAGAATAGTAATTCTGTTCCTGTTGCCTGCTAAGGAGTAGTTCTGAGCAAAGGCTGTCTTCAGTTGAGTTTGCAAATGCCTAGTGAGAGAATTAGCTGCTAGATGACACTTAGCTTACTTTACTATTTGTCAGAATTTTCACTTGATATATTTACTGATGTCTTTGCACTAGCTTCCAAGACTTGTAGCTTTCAATAGCCTTTGCATGTAGGCTTACAGAAGAATTTTGCAGCGGTGTGGGTTAGTTCATCTAGGAGTGAGTGTCTGAGTTGAATTATAGATGCTGCTTAAATAGTGGCTGTGGCAGAAGTATTGCCCAGAGGGTAGATAATCACATGGCAGGGATTCAGTATACATGCATTTCTTCAAGCAGTCTTGGTTTTGTATTCATTTGCAGAGCACTGGCAGCCTCTGCCCCGATCTGGCAGTTTGGTGATTTGGTTCCCTGTGGTGCTTACTTTACCATAGTGACTAATGATTTCAAAAAGAGTGGGACTGGCTGCTCAGAAAGCATCCGGAATTCCTGGAATGCCATTAACCACCTTTCCTCAACAGGTAAGACTTTACCACTAGCCTTCAAATGGCTGCAATGTTTAAGATTATGTTATGACTTCATAAAATTAGTGTCGTTGTATTGTGCCTTTAACCTGGAGATGTACAGGTGCTGGTGGTCAGTCTTTTTAAGCTATATTCTTGGATGTGTTCACTGTTTTTGTAAGTGCCTGTTCTGTTGAAGCATGTGCTTTATTCATACGTGGCAGGATTTGGAATCCAGAACCAAACATCCAAGATCAGATGAGCTGACTGTCTTTTCTCTTAAAAATGAATAAATAAAACCTGGTAGGATGAGTTAGCCAATTCACATCAGGAAAGCTGAACTGGTGAAATTTTAGACCAGATAAAATAAAAAAAAGCAAAGACAAGACGAATTCTGAGATTCATTTCATACATTGTATTTTGAGCTAGCTGGATTGAAGTTTTTCATTTGTTAGTAGATAATTGAGAAAGGCCAAATAACCTTTTGGTCTTTGCTTTTTGGGTAATGCTGCCTGAACTGTGGCAGATCCATAAGCTGTAATATTGAGGTTACATTTCCCATTGATTTAGCAATGTTAAAGCTTCATCTGCTCTTGTATCCCACATGCTTGTATGTGGGATAATTTCACCAGGTCAGCTACACTAAGTGAAATACTTAGTAGCAGCACAACTGACCTATGTGACACAAACATTTTAACTGTAATGTTTTTCTTTTTCTATTAAAGATGCAGGTTTACAGTGGCTTTCCAGGACATTTCATTTGTGCAGCCCATTGAAAAATCTTCAGGATGCTGCTATGTTGAAAAGTTGGCTGAGTGAAACATGGATAGACTTGGCTATGGTGGATTATCCCTATAAAGCTGACTTCTTACAGCCTCTACCAGCTTGGCCTATACAGGTAACTGAGAACTCATCCCTTGGAGTGATTAAAGCCTGGGCTTTTGAAGTCATTTCCACTTGGTTTAACTCTCCTTCTCTCTTGGTTTGCCTGACTGACACAGGTTGCATCAAGAGCCAAGAATTTTTTTTATTCAGGAATTGTAAAATTTCAGGTTCTTTGTAATAGTATAGACTGCATAAACACTGTTTAATGATGATGCTCAGGGTATATAATAACATAAAAAGATTCTAATAATATTTTGAATGTCCTTTGAAAAGAAAATTATATCCCATCAGGTATTGTGTATTTCTTGCAGATTTAGACTCCTGTCTCTCCTCTTCCTTGCAGGAAGTTTGCAAGTTCTTAAAGGACCCCAGTCTCTCTGACAAATTGTTGCTGCAGAATGTTTTCCAGGCAATAAACATCTACTACAATTATACAGGAGAAGCCTCCTGCTTTGACATGTCTGAGACTGCAACAAAGAATCTGGGCCAGCTGGGTTGGTACTATCAGGTGTGTGTTCCTTTCCTCTTAAAATTGTGACTTGGTAAGTTTTTTGGGGGGCTAGAGGAGATGGGAATTCATGTTACTATTAAGATATTGGACCAGATATAAATTGAGGAGGTCATGTAGGCACCAGTGAAGACCCTGCTTGTTTGTTTATTGCTTTAAAAGAACCTCATTCTTCAAAAACAGAGAAAATAAAGGGATTACAGCAATGTTTCACAGGCAGGGTCATCAATGATTCATGTTTGAAAAACACCTAAAAACAAAAGCCCAAGCTATATCACTTTTTCTGTCTGGTTTAGAACTTGAACGCTTTACTATGCAATTTTTTTTTTTATCACATATCCTATGAACTTCTAAAGACAGGTAAACAGGAATGGACTGAGTTAGATTAAGTGCCACAGCGGGAGCGTGTTGGCTTCCAGGCTATAACTTTTTTTAAGGTCAGGAAATCTTTTTGCATGAAAGATGAAGCTTTTACTTGACACGTGTATTGTGATAGCTTGATGGTAATCTGTAAATTCTGTGAGCCTCTTTATTTATATACTGCACAAATGGCTCCTGGACAGTCTCTCATTAACATCCTGTTGCTCTGCTCTCCTTCAGGTCTGCACTGAGATGGTGATGCCCATGTGCACAGATGGTGTCCATGACATGTTTGAGCCTCAGAAATGGGACTTTGAGGCACTTTCAGATGAATGTTTCAAGCTGTGGGGAGTGCGACCTCGCCCCTCTTGGATTCTTTCTATGTTTGGAGGGAAAAACATCAGTTCACACAGCAACATCATCTTCAGGTGAGCCTTGTTTGAGTTGTCTCCTACCAGTTTAGTCTGGTAGTGATCTGTCTGCAGCATTCCAGCTGAATAAATTGGATTCTGTCAAATGTAAATTTCTTCCCCTCTGGATTCCTTCTTATCTAGTGGCCAAAGTCCAGGTTTCTCATGCTGATAAATCTGTCTAGCTTTTAAGAAGCCAGAGTACTGTTTCTTCCACATAAAAGGAAAGTCTAAACAAGTTCTAGCTGTAACATAGGATCTTGATCACTAGAATTGTTGCTCTTGGTGATAGCCTTGTGGACTGCTAGTGTGACATTCCTCTTTAATTTTATTTCAAAAAAAAAAAAGCAGATTAGGGAGCTTTCACTTCCAGTTGCTGCTGTCAACAAAATCATGCAAGGTCTGAAAGTAAAAAGCTGTTCCTGTTGTGGTAAGGCATACAAGTAATACAACAGAAGTGTCTAACACAACTTAGTGCGTGAACAAAATGTAAAAATGTTTCACCATAGTACAAAACTGTGCATGCTTCTTGCTATTGAGTCTTTTCTTATTCTTAAGGTTAAACCCTGCTCAGCTTTCAATAAAGGGAAGGTTCCTCTAACTGTACTTCTGCTGTGAAGGGGATTCTAGTTGTGGACAGCTTAATGCTTGGCTGTTCATTAGGGTCTTATGTGGTAGAGAGACATTTAATAAACGCAGCTGAAACCTATGCCCTCAGGAGCTGTGATTCTGTACTCACTGCCAACAGCAGGCATCTCCTAGTTTACATTTTGTAAGGCCTTTTCAGGATAAAAAGAAAACCCAACACTTAAAAGTTGGAATTAATGTCTTGGACTTGGTAAACAGTTGTCTACTTTAAAGTAAAAGTTGTCTTGAATTGGGAGTTCAGCTGTTAAATTCAGGTTCCAAAAGCCTGTTGATTTCCTTTCATTTGTCTCTTGCTGTTTCAGTCCCAGCAGGATATGTGCTCCAGAGTGAGAAATTCCACCCTTTTTTGGAAAGCTTTTCCTTTAAATTAAAAAAAAAAAAAATTGCTCTAACTTAATTCTTGTGATGTTGCTGATTTCTAATGTGCAGACCTGTGAAACATTAGAAATTGGCTTTGTAAATGATAAACGAGCAAACAAATCTAAACAAGTGTTTCAGAATTTATGCCTACTGAAGGAGATTGAAATGAGAAAAGCTTGAAAGCAACCAAATGAGTGAAGTAGTGCTGTGCACACAAAGCTTTGTGTGTCAAGCTGGGTTGCCTCTCTGCAAACAAACACGTTGTCAACACTGTACATTTTATATAAGAGCTCTCTATTCTCAAACACCGGAGCACTTTATAAAAAATATCCCTGTGTCTGCTGGGGGATGTGGCTCCCTGTGGGTTTAGAAGCAGTGCATTAGTGTTGAGGAACTTGCACAACAAGTTTTGCCCAGGAAGGGAAGAATGCTGCATCTGAACAGAACCAACATGGAGTGGATTCACCCAGCCATGCTGGGATTTGGCTGGCGTACTCGCTGTTCTTGCTGTTCCTCCCCCTGTAAGCAGCACATCACTCTGCAGATCCACGTTATATTGTACCACTCAGGCACCTTCTAACAGGTACCTAATTAAGCTGGGTGGATCATACCTGGGCGTTTCAGCTTCTGAGCTGAGGTACCCATCTGTCCAGGTCTGTATGGAAGGGGGAGGTTGACAGCGAAGGTCCTATCTTCTATCTTGAGAGATACTGGAGCTATCTACAGAAGAAGGCATCGCTGGAAGGGGAAAAAAAGGAATAAAAGAATGAAAGGCAAAACAATGCCAGGCTGAAGAGAAAGGTGAGAAGTTCAGAAAACAGACGGGGGCAACTGTGAGGATGTACATACTAGAAAAGCATGCACAAACAGTTTTTCTGAGATTGTGCAAAAGTCTCTGTTGTTCTGGGTACAGCGCAAGTACTGAAGAGGCTCTGAAGATATGGTAGGGAAGGGAACTTCTTGTGGGATAGGCAGGACCCTATTCATGTTGTCAGGGAAGTATGGTGAATTAAAATCAGGACTAGTGCTGATATTGTACATTGAGATTGCTCTGAAGCCCTTGCCTGACTGCTGCAGGAAGGGAATTGCTGACTTTTTTTTACTTCTGCTTGCACCTGCAAACTTATGTGAGTTGGGCAGCTTTAGCATAGGGATAATCAATTTCTGTTGGTACTCAGTTACCTTCTTCTGTAAGACTGTGTTGGGATGACTTAATGGTGAGCCCTCTGTCTCCCCTCTCCTGGGCAGCTCTCACTTCTCAAACTGCGTCAGTGCCTCTGCTGCTGTCGTTTGGCAGGAGCTGCAGAGGATGCAGCCAACACCTCCCAGAAAAGCCAGGGATTGTTGTTTCCTTGTGGCATGCCTAGTTTCCATGTGACTGGGAGCAAAAGGTCCAAGTCCATGTACGTCTTGAGTCTCTCAGCAACTCATCCCCCTGTTGCCAAGGTGCTCTGCTGATTCAGATGACCTTTTAAATCAAATGCTTTTTGCTTATTGGGCAGCTTTGTGTGCTTTTTCTCTTCCAGATGTAAAACATTTCTTTCAGTTGCAATCATTTAAAAACAGCGAAAATTAAGAGCTGTGGAGATTAAAGACATTTTTTTTTTTCCTCTCCAGTGGAGAAACAAATGAAATCATAGATTCCATCACATTTTTTACTGTTATTTCTACGCTTTTTCACTTATTTTTGTCTGTGATTTCTGGTGTTGCCATGTGTTTCTTCTTTTTCTAGCATGCATCTCTGGCCCACCGTGTTCTCATTTCTTAGATATTTCTAGAAACTTTAACTGAAATACAGAGGCCAACTTCTAATGTTTCTTTTTGTGGGTAGATCCAGTGTGTTAACTGAGGAATCTATCTAAAGTCACATAGTTTCATAAGCATATAGACATTTCTTTCTTTATGCATTGAAATGGACCACTTATGGGAAGAACAGTGCAGGAAAGGAAAATGACCCAGTAATCCCTACAACCTCTGAAGTCCGAAGCCAGGAATAAAAGATGGAAAACTTACTTCATTTCCACCATTGGCTTGTTCTATGGACCAGACATTATTTGGAATCAGATTTGCAGCACAAGGAATGCTTTCATTGGCTTGGAGAGGAGGAGGAAATTATATTTAAATCTTCCTGTCACAGAGGAAGAGCTGTTGGAGGCAGGTTCAGGGGGACATGAACCTTTCATGGCAAAGCCTCTGAGATGAATCTGCTGCCATCTCTCTGTGGTGCTACACGTTATTATAGGAACCAGCAAATAGTTTATGATGGCATTCTAGCCTTGTTTAAGCTACTGATAGCTGTATAACTGTTGAGAAGGCACCTCTGATGAGAGGTGGGAACAGGGCATGGAAGCAGGCATGAGGTCTATTTGTCATACATCTGCCAACTGGTTGAAAGTCCATGTGGATTTGTTGATGTGAAGTGCAGCCTTGCTGCGGTGCCCTAATGAAGCATTAATTCCTTACAGCAATGGTGGCCTGGATCCATGGTCTGCAGGTGGAGTGACCCAGAACATCACAGATTCCCTTGTGGCAATTGTGATCCCAGATGGAGCTCATCACCTGGACCTACGTAGCCGCAACCCTTGTGATCCCAAATCTGTGCAACAAGCTCGGGCTTTGGAAGTCCACTATATGAAGCAGTGGATTGCAAAGGCCAAGCACCAGCACTGAAGTGGTACTGTAACAACTGTGGTCGTTATACCTCTGCTGGCTTTGCTGGGATCAGGACTGCTCTGTGTTGTTTTCTCCTTTGGCTTTTCTCCAGTGCTGTACTTCAGGGTAGAGTTTCTGTTCTAGGCTTGATGCCTTCCTTGTTGCACTATATGGCTGTCCTTACTGCTTGTATACATAATGGATTAAAGAGCAGTGCTGTTCATGTTGATGCCAAACTCCCTCTGTATTCAGTGGGATTGAATTTTGGACATCTCAGCCCTCAGCTGGTGTAAATTGTCATGATAATGGCACAGAATGAGGGAACAGAAATTGCACCTTACTGCAACTGGAGAGGGAGGGAAGGCATGGGCAGAAACTGGCTGTGAAGTTTGTAAGGAAACTAAACAGCCCTTACCCTTTGGAACTGATGCTGGGAAAGAAATAAATCTTTATTTTTTAAACTAGTTTTCTGGAAGTTTATTAACATAGCTGCCTTAAGTGGCTTTTCCATTCTGTACTACACTGAATGGTCAGGGCTGGACCCAGACTCTTGCTCATAACTGGCTGAGAATGCAATCTGCATCAGTGTTTTTATTTCTTCCTTTGCTATCTATCCTATTCATGAAATGCCACTGTGATGATGGTTGCCAAAGAAAACTGGGTGTGTTTTGTGTGTGTGTATATATGTGCATCTCCCATACACACTTAGCTTTTTTCAAATCAGGATGCTTTCAAAGCCATTCTCTTGAAGAGCAAGTGTGACACTTTGCTGGGTAGATCTTACGAAGTGACAAATAATTGGGGCTGTGCCTTGTGTGGGTTCCTCCCTCTCCCCCCATTCTGTGTATTGTTCAAATTCTGCATGATCTGTTTGCTGATGGCTCTTCAATAAAAGCCTTTAAAAAAAATTGTTTGCGGGACGAACTATTCAAAACACAGAATGCAGCTACCCTCTTGGAGCAGGCTAAAGCATGGTGCTGAGCTCAACAAGCCAGGTGCACTGGGCTTTCTGTAAGACTTCCAAACCAGACAAACTGCCCTGATTCATGAGGCAGCATATTTGACATTAATAAATGGCTGGGGCAGCCCCCTCATTTTCCAGCTTTGGCTTCATTCACACTGAAGCCCTTCTTCAGAAAGGCTTCTTTGCAGTTTAAAAGACAACTGCATTTCAGGAAGACTCAGGCAAGGCTTGTTGTCCTCAGGCTCTTAAAATTCCAACTCTGTTGAAAAGTTTTCTCAGCTTGGCTGATATGCCTGATAGTTCAGGTTTTTCCTAAGACACCAAGTGGGCTTTTCTGTTAGCAGTCTCCTCCTGCCCTCAGGGAACAAAGTAAACCCAATGTTGAAATTTAATCTTTTAATACATACCTGTGCATTTCCTTTCCATTAGAGTTCCTGACTTTCTCTCACCTTATTCTAATGTATTAAATCTCAGCATAAACGCTGTATTTGAATCTGAATGGCTCATGCTCTGTTTTGAGCAAAGTACTTAGAGAATGTAGAATTACATTAACTATTTTGAAGAAATCATATTTAAAACAATCGTTCAGTTTTATTCAGTCTTTTTCTAAACCTTGCTATCTGCCAGACTTCAGCAGTGAGATTCTGTGACTCCAGTGCACTTTGGATCAGCATTTTGCAGCTTTGACCAGGTTATGATTTAGGTGACTTTCTTTCTGTTACCAGTTGTTCTTTCTTTTTGTTTCTTCAAGTAGCTGAAACCTTGAATATGAATATCTTAAGCATTCAGACCTTGTCTTAAATTTTATGTACACGTTAATGTATGCTGGTGAGGAACTGCCTGTGTGACTACCTCATCTAAATGTTAGTTCTTCTGATTGCTCATGTAGGTGAGAACAAAATGGGTCTTGGGGAATTGCTGACTTCTTTTTTCAGGCATATAATGATGGGCTGTACTTCATCTCAATCTTACTGGTATAGTTCATCTCAAGCTCTTGGTCTGTGTCATGAATGTTTTGAATTTAAAATGTATGTTTGCTACTAACTGAGGAAAACATTAAAAAGAAAAAAGGAATGAATGACATATCCAGCACATGAATCTTACTGGTGCAACTGCAGTTTGTATCAAAAACACATTAAAAACATCCAGCGTGAGTTTCTGGAAGTGAGTTTTATTTTGTAAGGACAAATATGTGCTTGACTGGGATGGAGTGGGAAAAAAGCTAGTGAAAATGATGATCAAGTTGTGCACACAACGCAACTCCAGATGTTGGGAGCATCTCTGCACTCATTTGGCTGTGTTTGCATTTTGGAGTTTTTGCTGCCTGGTGAGGAGCAGATCTGTCCACTGGTTGTTCCCTCCAGGTGACCATTCTGAATACAGTCCTGCTAGTTGTACTGAGGATAAATCATTGTGATTTTGGAAGCTTGTTTCAATCCCAAGTATGTATTATGTAGCAGAGATGAAAATGGTTTCAACTGGCAGCAGCACGCAGCACTCTGGGCAGGGGACCAGGCTGATGAGGGCTGACTGTGCTATGCAGGGAGCTATCAGGGAGGGCTGAGGCTGCAGCATCTTAGGAAGGTACTAAGTGCCTTCTGCTTGTAGTTTGTTGTGCCTGTAGGCAATTTCAGCTTTACGGACAGTCAAATATTGTATCATCAAAGGAAGCTAAAGAGAGGAAAGTGTCCTCCAGGAACCTGAAGCGTGATGTCTAAGTGCATGCCAAGTGGGATTGCAGGGCAAGCTTTGGCTCCCAAATTGTGCCCCAGCTATGTTGTCACTGCTTTAAATAAACACGTTTTTGTTTGACTTTTGTTTCTAAAAAAACAACAGCAACAACAAAAAGCTGTTTTGTTTCAAGTCTGATCTCTAAATGAGTTGAACGTATTCATCAATGACCTAGAAAGCTATCTGTGCATTGAAGATTTTGCATGTGGGATACGTTAGCACTCTTCCAGGACCAGTGTGGGATCTTTCTGTCTGTTTGATGGTCAGGAGGGATGGCATCAAACCACTGAACAGCTTTGCTTTGCTGCTCAGGTAACACAACAGCAAAAGTTCTGAAATTAGGACAACATCTGGGATAAATGGTTGTAAGGTGTGGGCATCTCCACAGTGTGCTGTGCTAACCCTGTGTCTGTGGTACCAGGGTGTTTCCTGGGTGGGGAGCGAGCACTCCTCCGGCTGCCCCCTGCGCTGATGGTTTGCAAAGTCTTTTAGCTCAGTCCCCTGGTTTAGAAAGCAGGGATAGTGCAACCCAAAGAGGGGGGATAGCAAATCCCTTCCGTTTGTCTTGTTGTTTTCTAATGTATGCGACCTCTCTGGGTGGTTTAAGCGGTTTAGGTACTTTCTATAAAAGGGATCTTTTAATGACAAAACTAATGTGATTATCTTACCGAGTGTGAGAGGCGTATTCAAGGTTTAAAGAAAATCTGTTAGAATAGCTGAATGTATCTGCTTAATCCTTTCTCTAATGTGAGTGGACAATGCTCTGGGAAGCAATTGGTCTTTCTTTCTTGGAGTAAATGCCTGATCTCCAGAGGTAGGAACTGTTTGCAGCTTTTATACCCTTATGCTTCACCTTCCAGAGAACACAAAGGCACAGGAGAGAGGCAGGGAGCTCTCAGAGGCAAAGATTTTCCTCAAATAGCCAGGGGTGTAACCAAACGGGTCCATCCTGCAAGCTGCTGAGCACCCTCTGCTCCCTTTGACGACAGTATGAATGGAATGCCCTTCTTTAGCCAGCCTTTTGCTAGCAAAACTCTATTTCTGCAACACAAAATGCAGAAGGGGTTGCTGAGCACTTGGGGAAGCTGAATTGCAGCTGTCATCTTGTTTTGTGTCATGAAGCAGCACTTCCTATGGAGAGCCATTGGCTTTGGGGAATTCTCCAAAGGTCATTTTTTCTACATCATCTCTTTGGAAAGGTTTAGACTTCTGCAGGGGGAACGTGGCTCTGATGAACGAGGACAGCATGGAGGGGTGATGCTGCAGGACGCAGGAGGCTTTGACTGGTACTGACCTGGCATCACTCAGCTCTGCCCTCCATACGGTACTGCTTCCCTACATTCAAGGGCTTTGTTTGCAATCTACAAATTAGGCTGTGTCCTAGCATGAATTTTCTGACTGAAGGAAGAGCAGTTCGTAGAAAGAGGCCTTGGCATCTCCTCAGCAGGCTGCTGTGTGATCAGCAACTGTAGGATGGTTCAGGCTGGGGGTACCTCAGGGCCCTACTTCCTGCTCACAGCAGGGCCACACCAGGCTGCTCAAGGATGTGACCAGCTGGCTTCTGAAATCCTAGAAGGATGGAGCCTGCACAGCCTCCCTGCTCCATATGGTGGAAAAGTTTGACGTTGTCTGAACCTCTTGTTGCTGCTTGTGTGTTGTTCTCATCTTTTCACCACGTACCTCACTGGATTTCCTGGCTCTGTTCCTTCAGCTTGGTCTCTTTGCTGCCAGAATCCACAGCGATCCCCAGCACAGCTGGCTGTCCCTCAGAAATCCAGGACCTTCTTCACAGAGCTGCTCCTCAGCCAACTGGTGCCCAGCTGCATCACTGCAATGAGTTATTCCTTCCTAGGGAAGAACTCTGTGCTTAGTTTTATTGGATTTCATGAGCTTTTGTTGTCTCTTTCCTTCAGATTGTCTGAATGGAGCCCTTCCTTGAGGATATTAACCATTCCCTCCAACTCAGTGTCATCTACAAGACTAAGAAAAGCTGGAAAATATGAAGCTTGTGAAAAATTGCCTGGTTTAGTGGTTGGTGACCCTACACATAGCAGGGGGGTTGATACTAGATGATCATTGTGGTCCTTTTCAACCCAGGCCATTCTGTGATTCTATGATTATTTTCTGTTACAGACTGTAGCTTGGACTGTTCTTAAAAGCTCTTGCTTTCTGAAGTATTTGCAATATTAAAATAAGGTAGAGTGCCATCTTTTCTGACTAGCTTCAGCTGGTAGGACAAGGCAGGACAGCCCTATAGTTCTCCGCTCTCAGGATCCTGATGTCCAGAAGTTGTGGTGATGAGTTTTAGAAGTGTCATTCAGTTAGCACAGTCTTGGTGTTGTGATGAAAACAAACCCAGTAACTTCTACAGGGGTCTGTGGACCAGCTTTAGCAGCTAAGGAAAAACCTGGAATGGAGAAGAATGTTACCTCCTTACAAGCAGCAAAGGATATATTTTTGGAGGATCATAGAACCATATAAATATTTGGGTTGGAAGGGACCTTGAGTATCATCTAGTTCCTTCTGCTGTGGGCAGGGACACGTCACACTAGACTAGGATGGTTCATATGGCCTCTTCTGAAAATTTAGCCTACAAAGAGGAGGGGAATCAACTCTTTGAAAGGGTGAGTGACAGCAGGACAAGGGGAAATGGTTTTAAGCTGAGGGAAGGGAGATTTAGGTTGGACGTCAGGGGGAAATTCTTTACGGAGAGAGTGGTGAGGTACTGGAACAGCTGCCCAGGGAGGTTGTGGATGCCCCATCCCTGGAGGCGTTCAAAGCCAGATTGGATGGGGCCCTGGGCAGTCTGGTCTAGCATTAGGTGGAATGGTTGGTGGCCCTGCATGTGGCAGGGGGGTTGGAGATTCATGATCCTTGAGGTCCCTTCCAACCCTGGCAATTCTGTGATTCTGTGATATGTTCAAATGAGTCTTTGAGAGAACTGTATCATCATTACTGTATCACAGGTATAATATAACCATTTACTCATTGAGGAATTTGAACCAGAATAAGCCTAGAGAGATCTTGATTTCTTTTCTTTAGGAGGAATGCTAATCTTCTTGTGTTCTGCTGCTGCCCAAGTGAGTTGAGTGGTGCTCCAGGGCTGCTCAGCGCTCCCAGGGAAATTACCCAGTGCATGTGGCCTCATGCTGGGGGACTTTCAGGAATGATGGCAGGCATGATCCCGTGGACCACTATTTCCATCACTGGTTCCTCAAGGACCCAGAGCCTTATTTCCACACCTGCATACACATCAGTTTGATAGGAAGAACCCAACCTCTTGCTGTGCCAGATGCCTGTTGGTGTTCCTCCCAGCATCCCGCAGATCTGCTGCCCAAAGCTTCCCGGCTGAAGCAGGCTCTGGTGCTGTAGAGCCATATCACTTTGGTCCAAGGGCAGAATGGTGTCCTCAGCTCTATGAAATGTGTATCCATGTGCAAACGTGCATGGGAAAAATAGGATTCATCCCAGAAAAAAAAGGAGTGACATTTTCCCTGGCAGCCTGCTGTTATGTCTGACCTTGAAGGCTGGGGTCCTTGGCTGCTCCTCAGTGTTTTACTGTGTGGCTCTAGAGACTGGGAGAGGAAGCAAGGGATGTTATTTCCTTGCAAAGAGCAGTCCCTCTTCTCGATTACCATGAACAGGGCCACTAAAAAGGCCAGGCCCTTCTGGGTCAGGCTAGAGGAGAGGGAGGCTCCTGCTTTTCCTCCCAGCAGATGAAGTCAGCACTTGCTACGCAAACGAGACTAATAAATGTCGGAGCAGCGGGAGGTGAGTGCAATCAAGTGCGAGAGCCTGAGTTATAGTGGTAGCCTGCTGAATTCCTGGGTCACAAAGTAATTTACAGAACAACCCAAATGTCATTCAATAATTATTCAGGCAGCCTGGAGCCCAGGGGGCACAGCCTCCTGCTGGGTGTATTATTAATACCATCAACAAGCAGCAGGATGTTGGTGTGAAGAAAAGAACCACAACACGAGCGTGTGAACCTACGGGACAAATGGAAACCAGTATTAATAGGATATTGTACTGCTCCATAATGAGTGAAAAATCTCTCTATCTTGTCCTAGCAAGTTGTTCAGCAAAATCTGAGTGTTTCCACTTCTGACAATGAAATTGCTCTCGGTGGTTTGCAGCAGAAGGGAGGAAGATTGGTGTGCTGGTGGCCGCCTGTTTGTATCTCCCGGCCTCTGAGATAGTCTCCATGGAGACTGATGGGGGAGGTGGTTTCTAAGCACCCCAGAATAATTTAAATTAATATCCAGTGGACAATGTAAACCTTCTCTTTGACGTGGCGTGGGAATAAGCGATCACAGAGCTCGAACTGGGTCAGCTGAGAAGGAAGATGGTGCCCCAGCACAGGGTGTGATCAGAGCCAGGGGCTCAACCTCTGCTATCTCCCTCCCTCCCTCTTGCCCCCATC